TTCAATGGGGGAAGGGGAAGATACTTCAAACTCTTTATTATCCGAAGCAGATTTCGTTACACGGTATTTTGAGGCTGAGGATTCTGATGCTGGAGGACACGGAGAGGATAAATTATTTAAGTCCGTCGGAAGATTATTCTGACGTGCAACGGCAGCAATTTCCTTAGATTGACTATGAAGACGCTTACGTTTAGACACACGGATATCCTTAACAGATTGCAAGGTATCTAAACATTTGAATGATTTAAACATATTTTCATAATGCTTAAATTTTTCTGTCAGTACCGACAATTCCCTGTAAAACCATTTCTGGTTTGCCTAAATAGCTTGAAAAGATCAACTTCGGTTGACCTGCGCTTTACGCAAGACCAGCGAAGGCCATTGCCATCATTAATAGCGTCCAGAATTCTTCCCGTCAAACCAGCACATTTCAGATGGTAAATACCATCACACAGCCAGCACGATAAGTAGCGTTCAGAATCGCTTTTAATTTGGCAAGTATCAAGATCACAATTCGTATTGAAAGATTTATGTAATACACTCGTTAATAAAAGACAAACAAAATAAATTATAACAATTAAGGAGCTGATGTAAATAGCTTTAAATAAATGCAGCGAACAGTTTGAGTATCACTGTAATTATGACACTTAATAAACGCAACGCAAACAGCTGTGACAAGAATTACTAGAAGAAGTAAACAAAAAGAGTAGAACAAATGTGCAAAAACAAAATGAAAGTTAACTACAAAGGATACAACAACAATGATAGCAACAAATGACTCGACAAAATTAGAATGTATGCTAGTGAAATTTAATTAAATTTACTTTTAATATAAAACCAATAACTTTCACTTAGCTTCAATTATTTCACACTCTGATGCTCATAAGCACTTTTTATCACTATTTTAACACAAAATTAGCACAATGAACTTAGTAAGTAGAAAGGCAAAATCAGAGCACAATAAAGTACAACCCCACAGCTTGACGTTTGCTTAGTAATATCTACCACTCTTCGCCATAAGTACGGTATTGACCACATATGTTGCTTCGCCATAAGTACGGTATTGACCACATATTTGCTGTGTCCAATTTCAGGACATCAGCGTAGGCGGTTCCAGAGATAAGC